TTAAAAAAATGAATTACCATTTAATTTGCATAAATTATACTTTTTTTAAACATTAATAAAAAATAAATTTTAATATTAAAGACCATCCTTTCACCATCAAACAAAAATAAAGCAGTCCATACAAGATTAATGCATCGTTCTCTTTTTCAATGTATAAAATAAAAATTACAAATGTCACTTGTACCTTTTATTAAGCGCGTTAGGTCACGTATAGGTGCATTTTTTTATTTTTAAGGTAATAATTTGAATCTGATTTTTTGTAAATTTATTTAAAAAAAATAAAAATTACAAAATGAGAACACGTGTTTCTAAAGGAGTTGTGATTGAGAACGGCTACCTATTTTATCTGGGGAGGGTATTTTATTTGTTAAGGTAATTACTGAGGAAGAAATTATTTAAAATATTGACCAGGAAATATTAAATTTATATTTATATTTATATCGAAAGATTTAGTTACGTTAGGTTTTGGGAGTTCGAGCAGTCCATGTGGCGATGAAGGTGGAAAACTGGAAAAGATAAACATTCAAAAATCGAAAATAAATTCTTTGACTTTTGGGTCTAACGGTCTACTAGTATTAAGAATTCATTAATCTAAAGGCACCAAATTAACTCCACCTCTCCAATTCAATTAAAGTAGGTTTTGTGAAACTTAATTATGTGATATTTGACATAAGACTTGTATTTAAGTTAAAATTAAGGTTTTGTTTAATTTGTGTGTTAAGCAGGGGCAGACACCATAGGACAAGGGGGGCAGCCACCCCCTAAGATTTTTTTAAAAAAATTTATCACCTATTTTTAATTAAATATATTTTTAATTTTAATTAGTTTCCTATTAAATAATAAAACCTAGCCCTAAAAATTAATTGCCTGTTTGGATTTGGACTCTCTACTCTTCTCAATCTCCCCTTTTTGCCTCCGGGCATCCAAAACAGATTCCACTTCTTCTTTTGCACCATCTCTAGTGCTTTGTGCAATTCTGCAGCCGTGTAGGTAAGAGACAATAAAAATCCCAATTTTTTTCTAATGTTTATTTTATAGCCTTTTGCTGTACAGTGTCCACATCTTGTGTGTCCATTTTGTTTAATTTAATAATATTACTTTAATTTGCCAATTAAAAAAAATTAATCGTGTTCTTATTTTTTTTCTTTGTAGGTGCAAAAAGAATTTGATTTTTCTATTTCCTTCCTCGAGGCTTAAATTCAAAGCTAGTTAAAGATTGAAGGTGTCTTTTCTCTCTTTTTATATTTTTATTATAATCTATTACTTGTTATTTAGATGCTAAAATCTTACCAATTTCTACTGCTTAAGTCTTAATGCACTATTTAATATGTTTCTGTTTTTGCCAATCACTATTCATTCATGTTTAAATCTAAATTTTCTTAGTATAAGGTACATTTCATTTCTTTTCTTTTTTTTAGGAATATATCAATGGGAAAAAAATGTCACAATTGAATCTTTTTTTAAGAGAAAAAGAGAAGAAGATCCAAAAGAAATGAATTGACATCCTCAAAAATAGTTGAGGATCCAAGTCCCCAACAAGAAGCTTCACAAGTCATTTTCACATAGCATACACAAGAAGAAACTTCAAAAGTCAAAATAGATAATGTTGTTATCGAACGAGATTTAGGGAAACGAAAGCAAATTTATGAATATCTTTTGGAAGAGCAAGATAGAATTCAAAGAGCTTATCTTACTGCTGGTGCCTATCAACCACTATTGCATGAATACAAGAAATTTGGAACCATAAACCAACCTTGTCGCTTTGTTCCTAGTTGGTTTAAAAAATTTCCAGAATGGTTAGAGTATTCTCCTGAGAAAGATGCAACCTTTTGTCTATATTGTTTTCTTTTCTATAATCCTACAGGAAATTATAAAGGTGGGCACAATACGTTTATTGTGGGTGGATTTTCAAGATGGAAGAAAGTAAATGGAAAAGATTGTGCTTTCTTGAATCATGAGGGAAAGGATCACAACTCTTCTCATAAAATCAATGAAAAAGCTTCTCAAGATTTGTTGAATCAAGCTCAACACATATGTCATGTGTTTCATAAGCAAACTTCACAACAAGTTGCAAACAACCGATTACGACTTAAAGCTTCAATTGATGTAGTTAAATGGCTTGCAACTCAAGGTTGTGCTTTTAGAGGTCGTGATGAAACTAGCAGCTCAAGCAATTGTGGGAATTTTATTGAAATGTTGAAGCCATTTTCATCATATAATGAGAATATTGAAAAACTTGTATTGGAGAATGCTCCTCAAAATGCTTCATATACTTCACCAGAAACTCAAAAGGAGATTTTACAAATTTTGGCTGATAAAGTGAGAGAAAGTATTCATGAAGAAATAGGTGATGCTAAGTTTTGTGTTATTGTTGATGAAGCTCGAGATGAGTCAAAAAGGGAGCAAATGCCATTGGTTTTAAGATTTGTTGATAAAAAGGGCTATTTGAAGGAGCGCTTTTTTGGGGTTGTTCATGTGGCAGATACATCAGCTAAAACATTAAGAGATGCTATTCTCTCTATACTTTCTCATTACAATCTTGACATTTAGAACATTTGCAATCAGGGATATGATGGTGCAAGTAATATGAGAGGTGAATTTAAAGGTCTTCAAGCTTTGATTAGTAAAGAATGTCCTTATGCTTACTACATTCATTGCTTAGCTCATCATTTGCAATTAGCATTGGTTGCAGCATCAAAAGAGGTTAGCCCTATCTATCAATTTTTTTCAAAATTGACTAGTATTGTTAATGTTGTTTTAGCTTCTTCTAAGTGAAATGATGAGTTGAAATATATTTATGCATCTGATATTGCTCAATTAATTGAAAATGATAGCTTGAAACTGGAACTGGGTAAAATCAGATTGGCACTCTACAATGGCCTAAAGACACTTATTGGAGTTTGCATTTGAAATCTATTTTAAGCTTGATAAAAATGTTTGGTGCAACTTCTACTATTCAAAACAATTTGATTGATGAAGGTTCTACTGCTTTTTAGCATGGAGAAGGATTAACAGCTTATGAGGCTTTGATGTCTTTTGAGTTTGTATTCATTTTACATCTAATGAAAGAAGTTATGGAGCTCACTGATTTACTTTGTCAAGCCTTGCAATGTAAGTCACAAGATATTTTAAATGCCTTAAATCTTGTCACAACAACAAAGGCCATCATCCAAACATTGAGAGAAAACGGATGGGATTCTTTACTTGAAAAAGTTAGATTATTTTGTGAGAATCATGATATAAATGTTCTGAACATGTCTGCTACATATGTTGCTAGAAGAGGACGTGCTCGTCGTCAACCATGTATTATTACTATTGAGCATCATTATTAAGTAGATATTTTCTATGCTTCAATAAATTCCCAATTGCAAGAGTTGAATGACAAGTTCAATGAGAGTTCAATGGAATTATTGACTCTTAGTTGTGCTTTAGATCCTCGAGATGGATTCAAGAGTTTTAACATTGATGATATTCATAGTCTCACACAAAAATATTATCCTCAAGATTTTTCAAAAATGGAGAAAGAAAAGTTGCAACTAGAACTTAAGTTTTATGAGTTTGATATTACTCATAATCAGGGTTTTCAGAATTTGTCAAATATTTCAAAACTATCTTAGTGGCTTGTGGAGAGAAGAAAATCAGACATTTATAGTCTCATTTACAGATTGATTACCTTGGTGCTCACTCTTCCTATGTCTACAGCAACAATAGAAAGTGCATTCTCTGCCATGAAAATTGTGAAAGCAAGGCTTTGAAATAAAATGGAGGATGAATTTCTTTTAAACTCTTTGATTGTTTATATTGAAAAAGAAATTATGCAAACATTTAGCACAAATTCTATTATAGATAGATTTCGTGATTTAAAAACGCGTCGAGTATTACTCTAGTTTTCATGTAAAAGAAATAATTGTCAAACATTATTTTATTGTATGAATTAGAAGCTTTTATGACTTTAAAATTTCGCCCCCCTAGCATGAATTCTTGGTTCCATCCTTGGTGTTGAGGGTATAATAAATATATATATTTTTTATAATTAATTCACATTAAAAATTATAAAAGTTTATATGTATTTTAACATGGGGTTAGTGCTTGTCCGCCTTACCTCCCAAAAATTAGGAGGAAAAATGATAAAAATTACCTTAATGCATGCTTTAAAAATATAGTAATTTAGTCTTTTTCAATAAAAAATTATTGGAACGATGTAATTTGCTATTTTTTTGGAGATAAGACTAACATGCACGTTTCCTTAATGGCTGACAGGCACAAAAATTTTGGAACTCCTAATCGTTTATTTTAATGGCTTAAGACATAGTTTTAATTTGCCTTATTTTTAATTTTCATA